AAGGTAGAGAGAGGAGAATGAGAAAGTCTAGGTGAAATAGGTCAGTATTCACAGTCAAACCTTAGCTTACAGAAAGTGTCTAAACAGTTCATTTTCTTAACTGTATGAAACTAACCAGCTGCTTCTGTAGGGGCAGGGAGAGAGAGTGAGACAGGGACAGATTGAGCGAGATTGAGAGAGAGATTGAGAGAGAGAGAGAGGGGGGGGGACAGGGACAGAGAGAAAGGCAGAGACAGAGAGAAGGGAGGGGTGGAGAGAGAAGGGGTTAGAGACGGACACATTGCACCATGTCTCCCTCTTCTGCACCTGATCCCCTATTGTTCAGGAGTCCCAGGGCCCAATGTCCCTGGGTCACCGGTTAGGTGGGCACTCCTAATGCCTCGAGTAATGTTGAGCTCTCAGCCTCCTCTTGCCTGCTGCTCCCCACCCCACTGCACGCAGCTCAATGGGGAGAGCAGGTGAACCCCTGGAACAAGGCTCATGGTGCCCGAGCTCCTCTGCAGGAGTGCTTTGGGCTCTCCCCTGAGTGGGAAGCCCCTTCCCCAGGGCTGGCTGTTTCACTCCAGCAGCAGCAGGCGCATCTCACCTGAAACATTTTGATCATGTCCTCGCAGTTGCGCTGCTGCGCCACGTCACACAGTTTGGCTGTGATGTCGATGCGCCGGCAGATATCCATATCCACTTTCATGGCCTTCTCTTGGATCTTGGTATCCAGCTCCGTGAGGTTCTGACCCAGTGAGAACAAGCCCAGCCCAGGGTGGCAAGGGGACAGAGGAAAAGGGACAGTTAGCACATGGAGCCCTGGCTCTGGCACAGCGTCCTGGCAGAATGTGGTGTGAGGGAGATCACAGGCCCTGTCAGGGCCCTGCTGAGGGAGCTCCCCCATGCACTCAGGTGGGGCACTGCTGCATCTCCCTGCAGACGTTCCCTTTGGCATCGCTATGAGGAAAGGCACAGCGGGCTGAGGGTGTGCACGGGGCAGATGGGGAAACTCACATTGCTCATCAATCCCTTGAAGACGACCAACTCTGCCTTCAGCTGCTTCACCTTCATGGCCAGCTCCTCCTGGCATGCTTCAGCTTCCTGGGCCTCCTGAGCATGGGGGGAAACGCTGGAATAAGTGCCAGGGAAATGAGGCTGGAGCGCAAGTTGAGGGGGAGGGTGGGAAGGGCCCCTCACCTCATGCAGCTCGGCCACTTGGTCCTGCAGCTGGACACGCACAGTGTACTCCTCTTCCCACCTAGAGACACAAACATGCCAGTCACCCCCTGCCTCTTCCATAGCACCCTTCCCTGGGGAGGGCAGGGCTGGCAGCTGCAGGTTGCCTTCCTCACCACTGACCTGTGCATGAGACCAGGGCTTTGCTCTAGCCATGCAAGGAGTGCTGGGAGTAGGAGGGAGGGATTTGCTTGGGAATTTGCTGCCCTTCCTTTCTGGACAGCTACAGCTGTTAGATGCCTTCTGTCATGCCTTCTGACCATGAGCCGCTCCCTGCCACAGATGCTACTGATCTCACTCAGAAGTCACCAACCACCTGTCATTTCACAGTGTGCGTGGGGGTGAGGGGGGTGCTCAGGACACCCACCACAAGCTGTACCGAGCAGCTGAAACACGGTCCCCCAGGACCAGATTAGCCTGATTGGCAGATCTAGCCCATTGTCCTCTGTCCCTTCCCCCACCCCCGCTCAGCAGACTGGCCTCTTGCCTGGGCTACATGGGGTTTTGCTCTACTGGCAGTAACAGGCACTGGGCTGTACTGGGCCCGAGAGGCTGAAACAGTCTGTGCTGTGCTCCTGTTGCCTTTGTATCTAGGTCTGCTCAGTAATTACACTGGGCCAGTGAAGGGTGAAGCTCTGCAAAGGCACCACTGCCGAGGGCTGGACCGTGTGGTGACACGCTGTGCAGTGCTACAATCCCATGTTGCACAGTGTGCTGAGGAGCACTGCACTATTTTATGCTGGGTTGCATTGGTTACTCGGGGGTTCCGTTACACCAGGTTGCACAACATGGCACCTGGGCTACAAAGGGCAGTTGTGTCCTGGCTATGTTGGGTTTGACTGGTTGCTCGGTGCTGAGGCTGGTTTGTGTGGCAATAGAATGCTGTATTAAGCTGTATTGCACTGCGGCACGCTGGCCATGCTGCAGCTATGGCACGATGACTGGCAGTTTTATGCTGGTTGTGTTGTGCTGTAATGGGCTACAATACTCCAAGCTGTTTTTCATCACCGTGTATTGTGCCATTCTGTGCTCTATTGCATTGCATGGTGCATTTTTGTTCTGCAATACATTGAGCCATGTTTTGTTATGTTCTGCTGGGCTGTATTTCAATTTGCTAATTAACTGTATCCCCCCAGGTATAACTCATATGGGTGGGTCGCATTCTGCATTGGCCCCTGCTTGATTGTGCTGCACAGAGCAGCACTAGGCCGGGTTGCTATTCCACCTCCAGATACTCTTGGGGAGTGGAATTTTCTCATTGGGGGGACGCTCAACAGAGGTGCCAGCCAACTCTTGCAATTTTATTGTGCTGCTTGCAATTTCTGGTGTTTTTCTTAAAGCCACAGCCCCTTGGTTGTATAACTGCATGAGACGCTCTGCTTTCAGTGCCAGCAAAGCACATTTCTAGTGCTGATGGCTGGGCAGAACAGTCTGAAAAGTATGAATCTTAAAAGCTCAGAAACCAGACAGCAAATAAACAAAACCCCCCCACCCTCTTCATTATCTCCTGATGTCTGGTGCCTGACTCATAACGTTGGAACACTTCAGGTTGGCAATACTGCTCACTCGGTTAGAAAATGTCGGGCCCTAAAACTGCATGCTAGCTTTTGAGATACCTCAGACCACTCTCCTAACCAGGCAGGCAGCCCATTCTCCAGCTGCAGGATAAGGGGCCATGAGGGTTCCTCCTACCTTGATGGGGAGCACACAGGCAGGCTGGATGTACCTCACGGATCAAACTAGATTTCTGTTTCTGAGCAAAAAACGTGTTTCCCTGCCACCGAATACTTCCAAATCTTTCTTTGGTATCTCTTCTCCCTCCAGAGCCCCCTCCTAGCAGTGTTCTCTCCGTCTTCCCATTGCTCCCTTGCCTCTCTAGCCCTGTCTATATGAGGAAAATGACGTATCACTGAACTGCCTGTAAGCCGTGATCCCACAGCACCATTCCGGAAAACGGGTTAAGTACTTGTTAGAACAGACAGCGATTTCAACACTAGGTCATAAAAAGACAGCGATACTTAGGGGAAGCAACACTCCTGTGAGCCTTTTCCATCCTTCACCCCCCTGCATACTCTTCCCCGGCTCCCTCACTCTCTCCATTGCTCTCCTTCGCTCAGCTACTCCATCATTCCCATCTGCAATGCACCACTCCTAAGAATAACCTCCCTGAGCCACTTCCCTCATAGCCCAGAACAGCAAGAGGCTCCAGTCAGCATCCTGGATACTCCCGCTGACTATGAGCAAAGCTCCCTGCTGTAACCTCTTCTCACCACCTCAAATCCCCACAGGGAGCCAAGAGCCTCCCTTGTATGCAATGCAATACACACCTCGCTCCAGCACTGCAACGTCAGGTAACCTGCCAGAGGTTCAGAGAAAGCAAGGGGAGGACGACAGAAGGCCTTGGAGACTCGCTGCCCCATAAGGCCACTCACTAGGCAACTCAGGTCAGCATTTCCAATCATCCCCTCCCAGGCCAAGGAAAGACCCAGCCCCCTTCCCCTCCCCAGCCTCATGGTACCATGAGGAAAGCAACATGAAACCATCTATCTGTCTAAAAATCTGTTTCCACCATCAAAATGCCTTAATTATCACCACATGGTTATTGTACAGTGTCATTAGCAGGAAGAGTTACAGTTGTGTGGGAGCTCTAGACTGTATTTCCAACCTTAACATGCTTGGGTGACACTTTTACGTTAGTGAAACTGGATTTCCAGTTTCTAATACTGTACAAGGCTTGGAGAGCATCTCCTCTGTGGTGCCGTGTATGCCGAATTAGTGATGTAGACACTTTACCTTAACCACATCTTAGCCTAGCCTGTGTCTGGGGATGTGTGTATGTACATGGGGGAAGGGAAGAAGAGAGCAGACCTGACTGGGTTCCCACCCGCCTGACCCTTCTCAATCAGCACATGTTCCTTCCCCCTACAATCATTCACTCATTTAATTCTACCCGCCCCAAATGTGGCTCCCGCCCACCCAATTTCTTGTTGCCACATCTCCTCCTGTCACACTCCCGCTCCCCTGCAAGCTCTGTTCTGCTCCACAGCCCTGCACATTTGGAGAGAGACTTTTCTCATCCCTCGGGTGGTGGCTTCAGCAGCAGCTGGCCAAGCTGCAGATATTCAGCCTCCTGCCTTTCCAGAATTCAAGTTTCAATCTCACAACTTAAATGATTCAAAATCCAGGAAATACGACGTCAGTGCGCCTAAAGCACAACTGTAGCCTATCAGTGCCAGGATGGCAATGGGAACAAGGAATATCCTGGGTTCGCAGCATGGAAGGTTAGGCAGCTCAACTCTAATTGCAGGAGGATGAGCGGGCCCCAGGACTGTGTGGTGCACCTGCAACCTTCACTCCAGGGCCTTCCACTTTGGCATGTGAACTCCCCCTGTTTTGGAGAAAGCGAGGGGCCATGACTGAAGGGAAATTTTACAGTAGGGAATGGGGATGTCTTCTTGGACACCCCTTGCCACTCCTCAGGCACGAGCTCACACCTCCTCTTAGCTGCCAGCAGCGCTAGAAATCCAGTGAGAGGAAGAAAGCCAGTAGTGGAGAGCCCTTGAGGAAGTCAGCTATGAGCTAGAGACTGCATAGGGTGTGGTGGGAATCCCCAGAACCCAAGCCTCATAGGAAGGATCTCTTCACGCCTCTTACCCCCAGGATCAGGAAGTGGGGAATCTCAGAGGGTCCTCCCTTGGTGTGGGAGAACTGTTTGGGAAAGGGGAGCCCCCCCCCCCTCCAACATCCTTCTCCTCTCTATCAGGGCCATAGGAGGTTCCCAGCTGCAGATCTCAGAAGGTTCGTAATGTGGA